TACTCGGAAGGCTGAGGCGGAAGGATTGCCGGAGCCCAGCAGGTCGAGGCTGCGGTGACCAGGAGCGGCTACTGGACTCCAGTCTGGGCGACAGAGTGAGACTCCAACTCAAAATAAATAAATAAATAAAAATAAATAAATAAAAACATAGTATATTTAAGCCACTCAGTCTGTATTTTATGGCAGGGGGCCCCAACCTCTGGGCTATGGACTGGTACCAGTCCATGGCCAGTTAGGAACCGGGCCACACGGCAAGAGGTGCGGGGAAAAGAACTCTACCTCTTGACAGATCAGTGGCAACATTAGAGTCTCAATGGAGTACAAACTCTATTGTGAATTGTGCAGGAGGGATCTAGACTGCGGCTCCTTATGAGAATCCAATGTCTGACGATTCTGCCCCCACCCCTGCCAGTCCATGGAAAGATTGTCTTCCACAAAACCTGTCCCTGATGCCAAAAGGGTTGGCGATGGCTGCTTTATGGCAGCCCTGGCAAACTAACAGAACTGCCCTCTTCAGGGTCCAGTGATCATGGCTCCCTTGCCTTTGTTGACACAAGCAGTAACAACTCCCTGCTTTTGCTTGTGCCAGGATATTGCTCTATTCCCAATAAAACTGCATTCCCTAAAATCTACCCAAAGCTTTGTTACAGTCCCTTTATGATGCTGTCCTTAAACTATCCACTGAGTGTTTCATTCCTCTAAGGGGATCCTTGATGCATCAGTAGTGACCTAGCTGTCCAGGACAGCGCTCTGTGATTTCTACCACGAGGCTTCACGGTGAAAAGGTCAAGGGCAGATGTAAGTTCTGCCTAAGTAGCCCCTGAATGTTAAGGTAAAAAGTCCAATCTCGGCCGGGAGGGTGGCTCATGCCTGTAATCCCAGTACTTTGGGTGGTGGAGAAAAGAGGATCATCTGAGCTCAGGAGTTGGAGACCAGCCTGGGTAACATGGCAAGACCTTGACTCTACAAAAAATAAAAAAAAAATCAGCTGGACATGGTAGTTTCAGCTACTTGGAAGGCTGAGACAGAAGGATCGGCTGAACCCAGCAGGTCGAGGTCGAGGATGCAGTAGCTGTGATTGTGTCACTGCACTCCAGTCTGGGCGACAGGGTGAGACTCCAACTTAAAAAAAAAAAAAAAAAAAAAAAGCCCAAATTCTTCTCCTGGACAATCAGGATGCATATTTGGAAATGACAAAAGATCTTTTGTGAAGTGTTAGCCTATGCTTTGTCATTTGACTACTTATTCTTTTATTTAGAGTTCACTACATTGCCAAGGCTGGGCTCAAGCTCTTGGGTTCAAGTGATCTTCCCACCTCAGTCTCCCAAGTAGCTGGGATTACAAATGTGTGCCATGGTACCCAGCTGCAATTGGTTCTATGTCATGGTTACCACAGTTATTCCAGAAATGAGAAAGTGAAGTGTTAGTCTTCGTATAGTCATGAAGTTGGATTGTATAAATTGTGGGGTATTTTTTAACTTTCAGACACTCCCACTAAAAAAATTATCTTACAGAGAAAATTTCAAATACTGCAGTGCAGTGGTATGATCATGGCTAACCACAGCCTTGACTTTCTGGGCTCAGGTGGTCCTCCTGCCTTAGCCTCCTTAGTAGCTGGGACTACAGGTATATGTCACCATGCCCAATTAATTAAAAAAAATTTTTTTTATAGAGACCGAGTCTTACTATGTTGCCCAGGCTGGTCTTGAACTCCTGGGCTCAAGCAATCTTCCTGCCTCAGCCTCCCAAAGTGTTGGGATAACAGTCATAAGCCACTGTGCCCAGCCAAAGCTCCTTGTAAACAATGTGATTTTTTGAAAAAAAATGATATTTTAAATTGATCTTTAGTTACTAAGTACTCATCTTTGTCCTTCAACAGTTCTACTCATAGATGTTTCTCTTGAGTTTTCGCCACTCTCTAGAATTCATTAGAAAAGACCTCTGGGAAGGAAAGAAGTGATCTCAGTGCTTAAGGAAAGCCAGTTCCCCGAGTATGTCCTGTTGTATTTCACTTGTCATAAAGAACAATTTACATGGAATGGAGCCGTGCTGTGCCACATTAAGCTCCGTGTGTGCGGCGAGACAGGAGGCTTCCTGAGACTTCTTGAGTTAAGATCACAGTAGACTTGCAGGGCTGGGCTAGGTCTCCAATGGCTGAAAACCCAGCCTATATTCTCCATCCAGAGGCATCGCTGCGTGAGGCATGGAAGGGCAGCCGGGTGTGGTGGGAGGTCCAGGCTGCGGGGTGTCTAGGCCAAGCCTCAGAACCCAATGCAGAACAGCAGGACCTTGTTAGACAAGCAGGCGACATGGAAGCTTCCTGCATCATGGGAGGCTCAGCTAGAGTGGGTGTTATTGGTGGGAAAGGGCAAGAGTTCAAAGTGCAGTAAGCCAGAGCCCTGGTGTGTCCTTCGAGCCCTGGGCGTGTCCTTCAAGACCTGGGCGTGTCCCTTTGGGTAGGCTGGCTGTGCCTATGGTTGGCATTAGCACCATCCTTGATGTCAGAGGGGCTCAGGGTCACACAGAAAGCAGACAGGAAACAAGGCTGGCACCTCTGGATGGTTTAAAATCCAGGAGACAATCACCCAAATCGACATGCATTCAGTTCATAATCACATGAATCAAATCACATCATTTGAAAAAACAACAAAACTATACATTTCCTTCTTTTGATTTTCTTTTCATGGCACTCACTGTCACTGGTGAGTTATCCATTTGGATAAAATACTTACCGCAGTCTGGAAGCCGTTTACCAACAAAAAGTTCACGAATTTCACCACCTCCATGGCTGTGTCCATTGAGTAAGTGATGAAGACTTTCCCTAAGAGAGAACGTGCACATGTATTTATTTATTTATTTATTTTTGAGTTGGAGTCTCACTCTGTCGCCCAGACTGGAGTGCAGTGGCCGCTCCCGGCCACCGCAGCCTCGACCTGCTGGGCTCCGGCTATCCTTCCGCCTCAGCCTTCCGAGTAGCCGGAATTACAGGCATACGCTACCATGCCCAGCTGATTTTTTGATTTATTGTAGAGATGAGGTCTCACTGCCCGGTGGGTCTCGAACCCGCGGGCTAAGGCAATCCACTCACCTCAGCCTCCCAAAGGCGCGGGATTACAGGCTGAGCCACCGAGCCCGGCCTCGTGCACATTTATTAGAAACCCTGAGTCAAATTATTCTAAATGACACTTGTGAATTGTATGCAATGTCTTTCATCCTTCTAGAATAATAATGATAAACCATGAGTTGGGGGGGGGTCTAAGGGTTTAGTCTGCAGCAACTGTGGACTGCAGTCCCCGGGGCATGACACCTCAGGCCCAAGGGGAGGGGCTGGTCCAAGGGGTGTGTGGTGTTCACAGGGAATAGAAATCAGAGGAGAACAGAGGAGAGCAGCCCAGGAGGCCATCTGAAAAATCACAGGAGGCATTAACAAAAAATCCACCACCCCATCAGGCCAGGCGCTGTGTGGTTCACACCTGTAATCTCAGCACTTTGGGAGGCTGAGGCAAGAGAATCACTTGAGCTCAAGAGTTCATAACCAACCTGGGCAACATAGTGAGACCTCATTACTTCAAAAAATCAAAAAAATTAGCCAGGCATAGCAGCACATGCCTGTAGACCCAGCTACTCCAGAAGCTGAGGCAGGAGGATTGCCTGAGCCCAAGAGGTCAAGGCTGTGGTGAGCCGTGATGGTGCTACTGTACTTTAGCCTGGGCAACAGAGTGGGAATGACTCAAAAAAAAAAATATTTCACCACCCAGAGCCTGCAGGTCCTTAGATGAGGCCGCTGCCTGGCTTCTTAGAGACACTTGGCCCTGTGCCCAAGGAATACTCTCTCAGCAGGCCAAGAAGCGGGGGCTCATGAAGGGGCCACCCGGCAGTGTCCTCTTTTGATCTCAGGATGCTCTCTGCCGCCCTGAACTCTGTCTGACAGGAGCAGTGAGAGTGGGGAGGGTGAGAAAGCAGGTTCCTGTCCCCTCCCCCATCCTCTCACTGTTGGAGAAAGGCCAGGAAACCTGAGCAGACTGAGGCGCAGTTCAGAAATGTTAGTAAGAGACTTCAGCAGCTTGGAGGAGAGACACTGCCTCTGGGCAGGCCAACATCATAGATCCCTTCCTCCTCCCTGGGTCAGCTTAGAGCTGCAGACAAAATCGTTCAGACAAGCCTCAACCAGCCAGGACAAGAACCAGTGTTTTCTCAGGCTCAGGGCTTGGGGAAATGGTCTGGCTAGCATTTTAATGTGAGAGCTGAATAATCTTTGTGTGTTGGCTTTTAGTCTGGAATGGGCCAGTGAAATCGCAGGAAATCCCTGGAGCAGAGGGCAGAGAAGACAGAGGGTTGGAGAGAAAATATGTGTATGAATTCATCTATGCTTTGGCTCTTTGTTTTTGAAACACACCTCTCAGATGGAAATGTGTATGATGGTCATATTAACTCATTTAGGCAGCCAGGGATACTGATGGCACTCAGTTTTCTTCTCAACACCTAATATTTAATTCCTATGTAATCTTAGGACTTATTTGGCAGATTATGGCATAATATATAGAATCTATAGGTTAATATCAGGACTCTATCCTATGCAGGGCACCATTTGTTTTCCAGAAATGTTCAAAATTAAAATGTATAAGATTTTACGAAAATGTTCAGAAATAAATTTTTTTTTTTTTTTTTTTTT